GTAATAAGAAATGAATAGATAGGATATAAAGAAATATAAGGTAATAAGAAATGAATAGATAGGATATAAAGAAATATAAGGTTATAAGAAGAAATGTGAAAACAAACTAGAGTAGCTAGTGAAAAAATAAAGTAGAGTTTTTCTGTCTGTTTTTCATTGTTTGAAATTCCAGCCCAAGACTCGTTCACATGGGTGGAACGCCTGAGACAGATAGCTCTTCAAAAGGTTCGTATGCTTGCTCAGTGAAGACTTTGTGAATCTTCTTCTTGGTATTAATTAACCTGTTGATTTCACAATCCTATTTCAATTAAACCTTATATTAGCTATGTAGCTGGATTGTCTATTCAATAATTGTGCCGTACCATAAACGCCAAAACACCTATTTATTACTCAAAGCCTAGAGACTTAGAGCTAGTATAGAATGCTAGATCGCAAGACTCTTACATCAAGACCTTTGTGAGACAGACACTGTTTGTGAATGACCAATGGTGGACATCATCAAACCCTTAAGGATTTAAGCCACCGAGTTGCTTACGCTGTTACTACTTGCTATTAATTTAATGTATTGCCTTGAACTGATAAAAAGATTCCTTAATTGGCTGTTGATCCTTTCACGGTTATTTCGATTTTCGAAGAAGAATTCTCAATTCTCAATAGTTAATAAAGAGGCCTCAGTGATTCCACAGAGTAGCTACAGAGTGGCTCTTCTTCCACTAGATGCGTATGGATCATTATAACAGTTTTGTTTATAAATACTTGAACAGTTTTGTGACACAACATCCATTCCTGGTACGTGGCCATAGTTTCAGGATCTCACCTGTTTGTAATTCAAAGTCCTAAGAAATACGCAGGATCGACTACCATTATTTACTTATTAATTACTTCAGCTAACTGATATGGGGTTCCATCACTAAGAGTACCCATTGTTTGTTTTAAAAAAAATACCTAAAAAATAAACGTTAAACTTAATATTTCAGTATTTTTTTACTTCAGTTCTATATTTTACAGGATTATCCTCGATTTTGTATATAATTATCTCCTTGAACTATTCATGAATTCTAGTGAAGGTCCGTGGAATTGCAAAGTGATTGTATATTTGGAGCTGTGCATTGTTTACTTTACCATTAATACTTGTGAATATTTGGACACTGATACAAGGTAAACCCCGTATAAAAATGAGTCTGTGATCAAAGAATACAGGTTTTTTTTGACTATTTCGAAATTGGTCTAATTTGAAAAAATGATGAGTTTTAGGAGAGGTGCGAGGCCTGCCCGAGGGTAAATTRCGTTCTATATAACAAAATGAGAATAAGAGCAATTGTTATAAGAGCGCATGGTAAAACGTTCGGTACCATCTTGTGTTGCGTTAATGATGTTCTGGAAATGAATGACACATACTCGGATTCAAGGGAACTATTAGAGCCTACATCGAAATCATAAGAAAAGACCATAGAATAGAATAGAATAGAATACCTTTATTTAAACACGATAAAATTTAAAGCTAAAAGCTTGTGGGGTCGTGCATAAAATAAATTAAATAAATAAAATATAATATAAGTATGAATCTGTAAAAATAGCTAATTAACTTAGATAACTT